TATGACCCCACTATGTTAGACTTCCTTGCGGGCTTGCTCAGACTGTTCTGCCTGTGGTTATACTTGTAGTCCTAAAGACAAAGAGCCTAATACTTTGTTAATGTCAGCTTTTTAGAAACTCATTGTCAGAAGTGCTCAGGCCAGTTGCTGCTCTTTCTATCCCAGTACCTGGAGGATACTGAAAAACAGTGTAGCACTGAGAAAAAGTATTCCCATTTTATTTCAAGCTTTCTTAGGATGGTCTTTAAGGTCCCTTCCAATCCAAACCATTCTAGGATTCTATGACTTACAGAAACCACATTGTTGAGAAAGTGGGCATAACTACCAAAAAAAAAGGCAGAGAAGCAAGAAAATTGATCTAGTTAGACAGCCTACCTCAAGAGCTCCTTTGACTCAGACAATTATTTAATAACTCAGGAAAGGTTAGATTCTACTGAAACCACTAAACAAAGACCAACAGCAATGTATAAGAAAAATTTAACTTCTGAGATGGAATTTGATGAGCCAATCACTGACACTGTTAAAAAGAACAACAACAAAACATAAAGTTTAAAGACACAAGAAACAGGAAACTGGTTTAAAAGAAAAGAAAGAAGAATCACAAACCCAAGAAAGGAACATCTGTCTGGCATCATACACTAGTTGTAATCAACAGAACTACCAAGAAAGATTGTTTCCTGATCCTCTCTGTTGTGAAGAGTTGTTAAAAGTTTTGTGTTGTTGTTAAAAAGTTGTTGTTAAAAGTTTTCTGCTATACCTTTTAAAGCTGCTGGTAATCTTGATAACATTAAATGTCGCAAAAAGAGATATTGGAGCAAACTGATAAATTGCTTTTTAAATTAAGTGCAAGAATTGTGGAAGAAAATTGTGCTGTCAAGCTGCTAAAAAAAACATAAAAAATGCCTCTAAAGGTAGTTGTCAGACTGGATTGTTAGCAGATAATACATCATGTTTTAATTTTTTATATGAAACTCCATGTTTTCATTTCCAATATCTCCTTATATCTCTTGTGATGAGACATGACAGGATTGAGGTAATTCTGGGATAGTAAAACAAGTTACATGTGCCAAGTTCTGGGCTGGTCAAGAAAATGTGTGTATTTCCCCCTAGCCCCCACTATGAAATAGTTATAAAACAACCAGTGATGTCTCACTGTATGAAGTACCTTTATAATCTCTTCCCAATTAAACACTAGTATTAGAAAAATCTTAATTCCTTGGAAGAGGACTGGCTCATTAAGGATTTTTGGGGAAAAAAAACCCTCCTCTTTACCTTCTTAAATGCTCTTTTTTCTCCTTTTTCCATGCTTTGCCTTGTCTCAGGCACCTTTTTTGTGGTCTTAATTGTTATAAAGGATACAATTTTCTTCTGGATTACATTGGCCTGAAAATACAACCAGGAACAACACTATCTCTCTGGCTGCAGCTGTACCGTAAACCTTTGGGAAAAGGTTTTGTGTGGGCAAATGAAACAGTTGTTGACATTAAATTCTGAAGTGTTGCTTTTAGCTTGTCACTGTGGCAGAAGTATTAAATCTGATGTTAACATTTTTTAGAAACTATGTTCTCAATCTGCTACGTATCACGTTAACAGAATCCCCCAATATAACATTATAGGGTACAATAGCTATTTTCAATAAAACTTCAAATAACTTCTTAAATTTCAAAAAGCTTCTTTAAACATCCCACCTTCTGATGAGCATGTGCAAAAGCATTGTTTCTTCAGCCTTAGTGTTTCTGTTGGTGGTCTGTGTGCTTTGGGAGCTCCTGGCAACTTCTCTGTGATGTTTTCAGGTGTTATTGCCTATACAATACTCCTCTCCTGGTACTGTCATGCTAACCCTGCTTAGCTAAGTATCCTACCCCACAGTGTTATTCTACAGAAAACTACAAAAAAATGACACAGGAAGATGCTGGCTAAAAGAGACTAGATACAGTAAACCACGATGTATCCAAGGTGTTGACTTTGACTGTGGCTGCTTGTCACACAGCCTCTGGCAAAGGAGGCTTTCCCTGATTCGATGGTCAGAGGCCCACTGCAATCAGGGATTATAGTTATAGCTTTTAATTATTATTATTATTGATTTTTTTTCCCAATTTTGCCCATTATTCTGAATGACCAAAACTGATAATTCTGCTCAGAAGATGCTTGCAAACTACCTGCTGTGGAAAGCCGGTTCCTCTCACTGCTGCAAGCACGGGCACCTCCTTCCTTCATGCCCAGACACAATGGAAAGCCCTCAGGAAGCTGGCTGAATGTTGACTTTTCATTACTTGGCCTGTATTAATCACCGAGACGCTTTTATAATTGGATTACCATATAAAATGGATCGAGGGTGGAGCGAGGGCTCTGCAAAGGAAGCAGGCCATTGGACTGGATGGATGTGTTCTTTGTTTCACCCTGCCCGGGCGTGCAGCTAGGCCGAGGGTTGACTTCTGACGGCCTGATGCTTTCAGTGTTCAAGAGACGCGACCGGTGCAGCCGCAACCGTGCCGCTCCCAGAAGAAGTACCGGCCATACTCCCTCCGTCCCTCAGTGTAGAGACACGGCCACCTCCGAGGAGTTATATAGGCGCGGCGGGGAAGGAGGCGGGAGGGTTGACAGTTATGATTGGCTCCCCAGCCTGTCACCCTCACTGTTCCTCCTCCCCTAGCACGTGCCGGCACTGTTTACCATTTCTGGTTGGTTGGCGCAGCGAGGGCGTGCTCCAGCAGCCAATGGGCGGCCGGCGGCGGGAGGAGCGGATTTAGGGGGCTGGTGTTCGCCTGCCTACAGCCCTGCGGCTGAAGCGCGGGGCGCCGGTCGGCACCGGGAGGCTCCTGTACCGGTCCTGAGGCACGGCTCTGTCCCGTCCCCCCCCCGAACGGCAGCGGCGGCAGCAGCTTTGAGGCCCGCCAGGTCGCGCTGTGGAGTCGGCTGAGGGCGCTGCAGGGCGTCGGAGAGAGGCGGCTGGGGCGGTTCCGGCGTGGAGAGCGGGGCGGGCGGCGGAGGGGAAAGGCCCCACAGTGAGTACGGGCTGCTGCGGCGCTTCCCCGGGGAGGCGCCTCTTGGGTGTTTACTGTGGCGTTTGCGGGGTTGATGGAGGAGTCCGGCCATTCAAACGTGCGCTTTAGGGTTATGCAAGCCTAAAGCATCGCTTTGCGAAGTGCCTATGAATATCGGCCTTTTTTTTTTGTGATAAAACAGTGAGAAAAAACCTTTTCCTGCGGTTCCCCCCTTCGATCCTTAAACCCGAAGGTGACCCCCGTGTCTTCGAGAGGGATCGGCTCTGTAGTACCCTTCCCTGGCGGAAGGGATCGGGGAAGGCGGGAGGAGCCGGGGTAGCGGCGGCTGCGACTCAATCGTGGCTGCAGTCTCGTATCTCCGGTTTTCTCCCGGAGGACAGCGGGGCGGTGGGGAGACGGCTGGAGAGCCGGGCAAAGCGGTGGGGTCGGTCCGAAGGCAGCAGGGATGGGAGATTTCATCTTGCGTTCATCTCCTTGTCTTCCTCGCGAGTTTTTACTTTTCTTCACTCCCCTCCCCCCTTAAAGACTTGTACACCAAATATTCTTTACCGTAAGTGCTTTAATGGTGCCTCCTCTTTAGTGTTGGGTTTGCATGCATTAAGTCAGAAATAAAAAATACTTATAGCAGCTCCCAGTGCCTAAAGGGACTGACAAGAAAGCTGGAGAGGGGTTTTTGACAAAGGCAGGTAGGGACAGGACAAGGGGGAATGGCTTTAAACTGACAGAGGGGAGATTGAGATGAGATCTGAGGAAGAAGTTCTTCCCTGTGAGGGTGGTGAGGCCCTGGTACAGGTTGCCCAGAGAAGCTGTGGCTGCCCCATCCCTGGCAGTGTTCAAGGCCAGGTTGGACAGGACTTGGAGCAACTTGGTCTAGTGGAAGGACCATGTTTAAGGTCCCTTCACAACCCAAACCATTTTAGGTTTCTCTGAAATATTTATCAGATGTTCACAGTTTATCTTGTAATGCATACTGCTGTTGTATCCAGTTTGGTTTAAAGATATGAGGGAGGTTAGGTTCGAAGGAAGAAACCGTTTTATTTGTTAGACTTCCCAATGTGACTGGGAAGGAGAGGATAAAGTTTGGACCCAGTTTGAAAAATAAAGGCAGAATAGGGCTGGTTTGGGGTAATGTTAATAGAAAGGAGCTAACCAAATTGGTGCTAGTTGTCCTAGAATGGAATCCTTACATGAATTACTCTCCAAAGGGCTACTACTTCATTATGTTTTGCATGGTTGCTCTTCAGATGCTCTCCAGAACTGTATGTGCATGAAATGGAGAAGCTTGCTACCTTAATTTAAAAGTATGAGATAACTAAGTGACTTTATATATTTGTCTGGGTGGGGTTTTTTTCTTCTCATGTAATACCCTAGAAATGTGCTGCCTGTTAATGCACTGGAAAATTGATTCTCCTGTTAAATAGCAGCTCTGTACTATGTCACTTACTTCATATGTCGGTTGAATCGAACTGAATTTCCATGTGACTTCTTTTAATACCTCTGTGGTTGCTACTTTTTCTCTAGGGAAAAAAAGAAAAATGTGTTTGACAGTTACCCAAACTGTAATGGTTTTGGTGCTAAAGAATAGCAATTATTATCCAGGCTGTGGGAAGCTGTGATATTTCAAAAATACTAACGTGTGTGTTTGTGACAACTGCATAATGATAACAGTAAATGTGTTATGAATTTAGCTAATTAGGCATATGAATGCTCCCACAGGTTGTTTTGAATTTCTTTCAGAATGTTTGGTATCTGATCTAATTTATCACTCTTTCCAAGAGAATTTGGCACTAATAATTTGCTGTTGTTACTCATAAACCTTTTGTATTTCAAATTTTCATCTTTTTCTGTACAACTAGAATCTGAAAAGCACTGACAGTGAGGAAATTTGGGGTTTAAAACTCTAATTATGTCATACTGTATTTGGGTGTTCTGGGGACTTGCCTGCATTTGAGAGGTTCAGTAAGGTACATATAAAGATTTCATTTGTATACTGAGTTTGTTGCACTGCTCAATCCTTTGTTGCCCACAAAGATGTTGAACAACACTGGTCCCAACACTGACACCTGAGGGACAGCACTCACTGGTCTGCACTGGGACATCAAGCCGTTGACTGCAACTCTTGAGTGCAGCTCTCCAGCCAATTCCTTATCCACCAAGTGGTTCATCCATCAAATCCGTGTTCCTGCAGTTTAGAGATGAGGATGTTGTTCCTGAAGGGCAGATGGGATTTCTATCAGTAGAGGTTTTTAAGAACTTGTTAGCCAAGTGGCTCTGAGGAGTGTCACAAATACAGACTAGTCCTGCTCTGTGGTCGGCAGCACAAGCTGGTAGTCTGTACCTTCAAGTAGTTCTTATGGTGAAGTTATTTGGTGGTGGTGTTCTTCACCCCCTGAAGTTGCAGAGGACTGAAGTTGTTTCTGTGCTTATCTAGAAAGACCTGGGCTCCTGCATTGGTTTGTGACAGTCAAAATAATGATACCTGATCCCTTTCAATATATTGTGTTACATAGTTGAAGAATTGGATTGACCACTCTCTCCTGGGCACAGAGTTGCAAGTTAAGGCTGGATATCTTTAGATTTTGCAAGGGCAAACAACTCATTTGTCCTGTATCCACCACAAACTCTTAATCACTTTTGAATAGTGAAATTGTTCCCGAATTTCTGACAGATTGTTTTTAGTGTTTAACACTAAAAACAAACTCTTGCTTTCCAGATGTCATCATGCAGAGTGCCAGTGGGTGATGGAGAGAGTCGCCATCATTTGCTGTTGGACATGGTTGCAGGCTCAAATCTCTGATTTGGAATATCAAATAAGACAGCAGATGGATATCTACAGGAAACATTGTGCTGCCAAGGTAATTTTAGCCATCTGTTTTCTGTCTTGGGAGTTTCTCTGCAAGCTATTAACTGTTTGGGTTTTTTTCTTTAGGAGAATGGTATTTTCTCTGTAGAAAAAAGGGTTGTGGTGGAAAATGGGTCGAATGAAAACTTATTTCTTTATTAGAATGATGTTTATTTCTACATGACTAGATTTCCTGGAAAAAAAATAAAGCTTTCCATCTCCAAAATGTGAAATGTGTTTTGGGTTTCTTTTTTTAAAAGTCTCTCATTTCACTGCAGAATTCCCTGGAAACACTTGACTTAATACTTTCAAAGTGCTTCCGAATGTTTGAAACAACTCTCATGTTCCAATTTGAAATTATTTTAATTGGTTGGGCTTTCAGTGTAAACTTCAAAACTCATTCCCCTGGACTTCAGGGGGAAAAAAAAGCAGAAGGTAAGGAGTTTTATTAAGCTTGAGTATTGTCCTTCCTCCTCCCTGCCGCAGAAAAATTATGGACTCAGAGATCAATGTGATCAGACAAAAGCCATTTATTATAGAGTATCAATCCTTTTTATACTGTTTCTCTGCCTCGGCTTACAATATTTTGCTGTATTATAATCGGATACATTTTCTTGTAATACACCGCAACTACAGTTACATTTACAATAGCTCGCTGTATAATATTTGGATATATCCCCAATAGCTCGCTGTAGTATAATTAGATGCATGTTCAATAGCTTGTTGTATGATGATTGAATACATATACAATAGCTCAGTATACTATGCTTTGATACATATTCCTGCAGTACACAGCAATTAGTAACAATAAGCGTATGAGACTTAACCTTTAAAATTTGCTAACAGTCCACTATTCTGTATCTTAGCACAGTCCAGTTTCTTCTTATCTTGCTTCCACTGCTACTTTTGCTACTGCTACTTTTGCTTCTTTACCCATGTCCTACTTCATCCTCAGTTCATGTCGAGCTCCATGTAGGCACTCGTTGACTTGGGCATGTGGCCATTCTTTGCTAAAAATCCATCCACATCTCCCCCTTTTTCTTGTTGCACAAGCCAAACACGCTTCATAGCATTCATTGTCATACGTTGAATACATTGTAACAAACAAGGTGCAATACAGATAATGCCAAAAAAGACAAGCAACAAGATCAATCCTCCTTTAACCAAGGCTTATAACCATCCAGTTATACCTCAGCCAGAAAAAAAGTGATGATAGCCAATCTTTATCATCTTCCCTTAACTTCAACACACTACCTTTGAACTTATGGATACTTTCATGTATAGATTCTGAATGATCTGACAAGTTCATACAACACATTCCTTTCAAAATTTCACACCATGCCCATTTGCTAAGAGGAGAAAACCTATTGCTGCCCTATTTTGCAAAGTCATGTGTTTAATAGAATCAACATCAGTGAGTAATCCAGAGAGAGCGGATGCTGTAGCATTAGTTTAATGAGCCAACATCCTAACTTATTTAATCTTGCTAAAGCTTGAGCGGTAGCTACTCCAGGAGTTAAGAATGAAGCAGCTATTATTTCACCTGGGTTCCAAAAATCTATTCTGTCATTACAGTTTGGTTGGATGCAAGGTGTAGTTTTTTATTAGCAACTGGCTAGTAAATACAGGTGGTTTTATACACAAAATCACAGCCTTTAATAATAGCTACTTTACTAGCACACATATTCAAGCTGTTACTTCTCAGTTGCCCCCAAGTGATGTTTTGCAATCATTTGTTTTCCTCTGTCTCATTTTGCTTGGGGTATTCACAGTCAGCTCCTGTAGCTGAGGCATCAGGTTCCTCCATTCGTCTGTCCAGCTCATGGCAAGGCTTGACAAACTTTGCAGGCAGTCGCCATGGACCTGTAGGCAGGAGGACACAAATATACCCCCTCCTCCAGGTTATCAGTTCTTGAGAAGTAGACAGGTTAAACTGCACGTTGTTAACAGTCGAGGAGTTTGCTGCATCACCTGCCCTTTTTCTGGAAGGAAAACTGTTCTACTTATTGTCCTTACTGCATGTGTCTATTCTGTCTGGATAATTGCATTTGTCTTTTGCATCAGCTTTTATAAATCAAATAAGTTGGATGACTTTTTGGATAAATTTAAAACTTATTATTCATCTGGAGTATAATATGTCTCTGACAAAGAGCAGTGCCTATATAGCTTTACTCCTTGTACACTTTTGTAGGTGCTCCTGCAGGAGCTCAGGTGAGGAAAGCCTTAATTTATCATCTATGACTGGCAGTGAGAGGGTCAATCAGACCTGCTTTGGGGGAGGGGCTTAGACTAGGTGACCTCCAGGTTTACTTTCCAATCTAAACTGCTCTTTGATTCTACTGTAATAGTTCTGAAGGGCCTAAGGCTTTCCTAACAGTAGTCTCTCATGTAGCATAACAAGGTGAAGGAGAATGCTAGCTTTTCAGATGCTTTGAATCTTTTCTAAGTAACTGGAATTTGTCTTAGCTGTATTTCCGTATTTGTTTAACCAAATTAGCTTATTATTATCTTTAATTCACTGTTACGGTACTCGAGCAGTTATGATGTTTATACAGACATGAATGCAAATGAATGAAATAAGCTAATTGTTGTGCGTACAATTTTCTTCCATTCACAAGTTTGTGCATAATTATACCACAGGTGCTATATAGCACAGACTATATATAGTTATTCATATATATGTTATTCATGAAGTGAATTCATGATGTTATTCACACAGTGAATAACATTAGATTTTCCTGTAAGGAATGCTATCTTTACAGCTCTTTTCTACCAATCACTTTTACTGAAGAGACTTTGTGAGAAACTATTAAGCCATACTATTAGGAGTATAGAGATTGTCAAGAGAAATAGGCTGTGGAGGGTGCTTTGTGTGTGCCACGAGGCATGTGCTGGTAAGGATGAAGAGGATTTGTGGCTGAAGCAAAAGAAACTGAATTGCAGTGGCTGGCTCTCTGTCCCCACTATCAATATGGATATAAGCTAAAAGAGGGTAGATTCAGATGAGATATTAGGAAGAAGTTCTTCCTTGTGAGGGTGGTGAGGCCCTGGCACAGGTTGCCCAGAGAAGCTGTGGCTGCCCCGTCCCTGGCAGTGTTCAAGGCCAGGTTGGATGGGGCTTAGAGCAACCTGGTCTAGTGGAAGGTGCCCCTGCCTGTGGCAGGGGCTGGAACTGGATGAGCTTTAAGGTCCCTTCCAACCCAAACCATTCTGTGATTCTGTCATTCTGTGAATGAATGTCTGCTGATGTTTTTCAGTTTAACAACTGTCTTTTTTTATGGGAAACAAATGACTTTGTTATTATCAGATAAATTGAACTCTTTGTTGGAGAAAGAACGTGTTATTAGTGGCTACAACATGCACATTGTCTTCAAGACTTTCTGCTCATAATTGATGAAAATGTAGCTGTTAAGACCCTTCAGTGCCCATTTCTATGGAGAATTAAATATTGAGAAATCTACATACTCCTTGTGAGAGGATGTAGCAAAGACTTAAAACACTATGAGGACAAATCTGGTGAGAGCTAGCTGCTGGCATAAGCTTTAAAGGAGTCTTTGGGCTTTGCAGCCACAGTAATAAACTCAGAGTCACTCAGAATCAGAGCTATTCTTGCTCAGAGTTGTTTTTTGCTTGGTTGTAGTTTGAATGCTGGCTTCTTCAGCAGAAGTTCTCTGATCCATGTGAATGTTGAAGAGGGATTTGGCAAACATAAACCCATTGGGCAGCTGTGTTGCTGTGTTGGACAGAACCTGCATTGCTGCGAGAATCCACCCAGTTTGCAGGTGCAAGAAGAGCAAGCATGTCCAAGCTACCTCTGTGGCTCAGATGAGCAGGAAGGTAAGTGAAAGCTTTTCCATGTGGTTCCTGAACTAGGCTGTGTTTTTATTTAGAATGTGTGGGCTTATTTTTAGGGTACTGTTGGACTCGGCTTTTAGTACAGCGCTTTTCTGAGCATTTTCTAAAATTCATGTACCATTTCAGAAGAAATTCCCAGATGCGTCACAAAAGTAATGAGTTTTCTACTTAACTGTGGTTTAGAAATGGATTCTAGATTTCCATTCTTAAAAAACAGGTAACTGGGAGGTTTTTGAGTGTGTACATCACAAAACCACTGTGTACCTCAGACTTCAGTGTGTGCAACAACCTTCTGTGACTTACCTTTTGGAGTAGATTTTCTTGGAATTGTCCAGGGAAAATAACCCACTTCCTCCCCTCCTACAGTACGTAACTTCTGGGGGGTTAAGACCTGCCAAGCTGGTGTGGGATTCAGTGCAGCAGGGTTGTGGTTATTCGAAGGCTGAGCTGCCAAGCCTGATGAGATCGGTGCTCCTCAGAGTACTTAGCTGTCAGCCACTTGGTGATTAAAAGAGGTTTAATATATCAATTTTGACAAAGAACATCTGTGGTAACATCCATCAGTTAACATGTGGTAGTTACACTGCTCGTATCTTGCTTGTTTGGAGCCTTTTCCTCAAATACTCATTTCCAAGTAGCAGGTAATTTAACAAGCTGCAGTTTTAAAACAAAAAGATTAAAAGTGGTGTTACATTTCCCAGACTGATCTTTTCTTTCACTAGAGTGCAAAGCCCGTACAATTTAAGTCTGCTGAGGCTGTAGGTAAAAGCATTATTAATGCTCCCTCTTCTAGTTTGACTGATAGTATGGAACCTGATTTATTGGGGAAGGGGCATTGGGTGTCTCCCAGCGACAGCGCAGAGAAAAATGTTTGAACAAAGACACGCGGGCTTTTGTGGTTGCAGCTTGCACTTAGAATAGGCAAGTGAGAAAAAGGGAAATCTAAGACAGCACTGGTCAGAAGGCCAAAAGCTGCTGGTGGTGGATTGTTCACCGAACAGTTTGAATCAAGCCAATGCTATCCTGGGCTGCATCACCAGCAGGGTGGCAAAATTATCTGGGTTCAGCAGAATAGTAGTGCAGCATGTCACAGCCCTGTTAAAAAATTGCTTCATAGTAAGCTCAGGCT